CTTCTGGTGCCATCGGGAAGGTGGGAACCCTGGGTAAGCCCTGGGGGTTGGGGGGTCCCTGTTCAGTTTTCAGGGAAGTTGGTATGTGTGTTTCCCTGCCCCCTCACCACGTCTTGGTCTATCCCAGATTCTTTTGAATAATGAATGGTTTCTGAAGGATTAGCTGTCTATTTCCTGTGAGGGGCCAATCTGTGTAAAAGGGGCAGCTCCTTCCTGCATGGTGCAGACAGCAGCTCTGTGTAAACAATGAGGCTTGGTGGGGGAGTGGTCCTAAGCACCTCTTTTTGCATCTGTCTCTAATCTCTCTGTTCTGCTGGTTATGGTGGATCAGGCCTCAAGGAACAGTGTAGCTCATAGTTTTTGGTAGAAAGGGCCCTTTCAGAGGTTTTCCTTCTTTCCACTGTGGAAATGTGCCCAGCAGAGGGCTCCTGAGCCTGGCCTCACTGATCTGCAGAGCTTATAATCCTGCAGGTGGCAGTTGGGCACACCTGCCTGTGAGGGAACCTGCCTGGCTGCAGCAACCTCAGGAGTTCAGCTTCTAGCTGTCCAGTCCTCAGCCTGCCACTCTCACAGGGGACTTGGGAGTGAATTCTTCATTCTGCACAGTCCCCTGCTCGCCAGCCAAGCTGGGTCGGGTCCCACAGTCCCTGCCACGTGACTCCATCACTCTGCGTTCTTTATTGGCAGAGCCACAGCATGTGCACCCAAGCACACGTGAGCACAAGGTCCCTGCCAAGTCTGGAGTATTGCCTCTGCTCCTCTTCTAAAAGGGTCTCTGTGTGGCCCCACACTATAGCACCAAGCCCTGGAGGGCTGTCCTCCACGCACTACCCCTCCCTCAAAAGCACAAAGTTTCTCTTGGTCAGGGCTTGCCACAGCCTGACAGAGCCTCTGCCAGTTTCAGATAAAGTTCTTCTCCGGATGTGTCCCAATTGGCACTGGGAAGAGTCTCGCAGAGATACAATAACCTGGGGCCCTGGCGGCGCGCTCTCACCGCTCCCGCCCGCGATTCTCAGCCTCAGCGGGCCTGCTCCCACCAGCTGTTTCTGCAGCCAGCGCTGCTCTGGCAGTTTCTCTCCGCTCCCGCAGCTCCCACAGCTCCCGGCTCCTGAGTTGAATGAACCACAGCCTCCTCAGTCAGATTCTGTCTGCTTTGCAGTTCCTGTGGCACCCGGGGTCAGAGAGGGGACAACCCCCTCCCTGGTAAGTACCGCAGTTTCTGGCTCCTCAAGGTGGCAGGGTGTGCACTCTTGCATGGGGCAGAGGACACAAGGAAACATTTGGGTGCCGAGATGTGGGCACTCCGGAGGAGGCTTCTTCCGAGCAGGATATTTTAAATTCCTTAAAATGGCCCCACCCCAACTCAGGGCAGCCGGAAGTGCCGGGTTGGGCCGCAGTGGTGGCAGCAGCTGCTCCGCGAGGAGATCCTGGGCCGCCTGCTCCCAAAGGCCCTGCAGGACGGCAGGCTCTTGGCCACTCACGCGCGAGCCCTGCACACTTGTCTGTGAACACACTCACTCACACAGGCTCCAACTCACTCTCAGCTGGATTTTCAAGTGGATTACAAGACCACCCTGGGTCTCGGAGAAAGGGGACAGAGCTTCCAGCTACCATATTGGATCTGTTTCTCATTCTTTTTGACTCTGTTGGAAACAGTAGATTCATTAGGCATTAGACTTAGAAATGTTCTTAGGAGTCTTTCAGCCAACTTCTTATTGTAAAGCTGAGCAGTGGAAACATGGTGTAATAATAGGTCCAAAGATCTGAATCCGATTCTGTCATTTACTAGTTGTGTGATTTCCAGGCTCAGTTTCTATAATTTCCCGCCAAAAAACAGAGATATATATTCTTCACAACCATGTCATCATGAAACGTTACTTTTTGAAAGTAGGTACCTGTATTATTAAGTACATAAGTTTTTCATCCATTTGTTCTTTCTCCTAGTAGGATAAATACATGGGGAATATACTTTTCTTGGCACAATTTGGGAACTACTGAAACTGTGTTTGAGCATTTCTATTGATGTGCATGTTTGGGGAAAGAGGCCGGGGAGGAAAGTTTGCACAGGAACGTGGCAGCCAAATGCCAGGCCTTGCACAGCAACATCACCTGTGTCCGAGTCACCTAGAGCCCCTCTGAAGGTCTGGATGGTTGGGATCTGTGCTGGCTTACTCAGTCAGCCTCTGAAGAAATGAGGAATTCCTATTTTTAATGAACATCATCTCTATCAGTTAGAGATTGGTTCTGCTTCATGTTATAGAACACCCAAATAATAATGTTTTTTAAGAAGTGGACTTTACTTTTCTCTCACATAAAGAATCTCTATAATATGCAGTCCAGGGCTGGTATGCTCCCTTTATCATGTTATGATGAATCAAGGGTCCTTCTAGCTCACTGTCTCTGGTCCAAAGTTGTCACTCTTGTTTTCATAATTTCAAGAAACTACCAGAGATCCATCCACTTTACACACCTTCTAGGAAGAAAGAAAAGTCAGAGGACAAATGGCTACATGCTGCCTGAGTCAATCATTTCCAGAAACTGTACCCAATAGTTTCTCCTTCTATTTCATTTACCAGAGTGTTATTAGATGTCCCCAAGCCTCTTCCATCTGCAAAAGAGGCTGAACTATCAGAATAATTTTTTTAATCTCAAAAATCAAAATTGTGGTTCTTTTAGTAAGAATAAGAGAGAATAGGCATTGTATGGGAAAATAGCTGTTTCTGCCATACTGTCAGTTTAAGCTATAGTAGGACTCACGTATTTCTTTACTCACAGCTATTTGTTTTTGAAATACAATATCCAATTTATGTCCCAGAATTGTCAAATTTGCCTTCTAAACTCATCCAGAAGATACCCCAACTTCCACAGCACAATTCACCTCCACAATCCTAATTAACAAACCATGTGAAGCCCTAGCTCACAAGCCCACTTGACACCCCCCCATCCCCCCTCAATACAGCCCTTTGTGCTACAACAACAGTGAAGATGTTAGAAAGCCAAACTGACCACTCAATCACTTGGATCCCCATTTACTTTTAGAATAAAGGAAAAGGCTTTAGTGGGACCTACAAAACCTTGAATAACTTAGGTTCTTGCTACTTTTCCAGCTTCATTCCACAAAAAAACTTGTATGCTCCTGATCTCTTTCTCTTTCTCTCTCTTCGACAATATTTGTATTATTAATTTTCTTAAAAGTACCCTGTTCCTCCTATATTGCCCTTTCTGTACAATGTCGAAGAGTCAGTAACTGAAGGAAGGTCAATGCTCATGCTTAGAATCATAGAACTTTACCTTTATAAGCTTGCAGTGTTTCCTGTATTTACTGACTGTTCGGTTAAAATCTATTTTCACTACTACTCTGTGAGCTCCTTAATGGCAGGGTCCATGTCTGTGTTTCTTGCACTTGCATCCTGACCACCCAAGTCCCTTAAGTATTAGGATCACCAAATCTCCTTCTTCCTCTCTATCCAGTAACCCATTCACTGTACTTCCTACATTGTAGACTCCTCAAAGAGCTATGATAATATTGTACAAATAGGAAACATAAAATAAGGCTGAGTTTCTCTGACTAGAGTCAATGGATCACTGGAAGTTGATGGAAAAATTCTTGGGGTAAAGGAGGGTTGGCTAACGATGGACTTCAATTTAAAGCTGCTGCTACCTATTTTCTTTTTAAATAAAATTTCATTGGAAAACAGTCTTACCCATTTATTTATGCATCGACTGTGGCTGCTTTGTGCTGTAACAGCAGAGCTGGGTACTTGCAACAAAGACCAAATGACTTCAAACCTTAAAGTATATACTATTTGACCCTTTACAAAAAAAGATTGCAAACCCCTGGGGGATAGAAAATATTTGTGTGTACATGAAGCACCATAAAATTTTTAAAAATAATAGGGGCATTGCCCTCCTTATGAAGAGCTGCACATCAAGAAACATGCACGCACCTGACATCCAGGTCTTGGCTCTACCTCTGGAAGAAGCTGGTCTCATGCCTCTCATGGAGGTCAGACTTCCTAAAAAGATAACTGTACCCTCCAGGTATGCTCTATCATTCATTTTTTCACTCATTCCTCAGACATTTTTTGAACATCAGCTGTGAACTATGCAACTGTATATTCTCAGGAACTGGCTGCTGAGACTCAAGATTCAGTTTCTGATCTCAAGGGCACCAACTCATTTGAAAAACAGGACACAGATGATTCTAATATCACATAGTAATGACAGTGATGCTATGTCATGGGGAAAGAGGGAAAAGAGAGGAGCACTAACTCAGCCTGAAGCACTGGGTGGGTGCTTTCCCAGGAAGGTAGCATATGAGGTGGATCATAAAGAATGAATAGAAGTGACCTAAGCAAGGGCAGTGGAGAGAAGGGAGAACATCGTAAGCAGAGGGGCTCGTCTTCTAGTTCCAGAGACCAGTGGGGGAATATGTCAAGAAGAGAACTCAGACCATGCTTCATTCCCACTCTCGATATGCCCTAAGATGCCTAAAACTAGCTTAACACTCGGTGTGAACAGACATTAGATGCTGGGTCTAGGGAGACTTCAGGGAGCCCTATTGCCCTGAATCTTAAAGAGGGTGACCGAGCAATTGCACACTGTCTAAACCTCATACGCCATCGTGACCTCTGCTGACTGTCCTTGGTGCTTCCTTCCTGGAGCTCTACCTCTCACCCCGGACCTCTAGTTCCAGTCTTTGTCTACAATTTAAGCTCCATTCCAAGGTAAATATCAAATTCAGTTGTGAGGACGGCTGCAGGACAGAGGAGAAACCACAAGAGGGCGCTGCTCCCCTTGAGTGCGGGTCTGACACAGCTTCCGTTTCTGAACATGGCTCTTTTTTACAGCCTGTGATATGAACTTGCAGGGCAGTTGGTCTTGCTTAACTCATGAGTCAAGATTTTGTAGAAGGTTTCACTAAAGGATCTCGAAAGTAAAAGAAAGCCCTCTCAGCTGTGGTATTACCAACCAAATCTGCTGCTGATTCTGCGCCAGCCATGCTGTTTCACTCCAGCTCTGGACTTGTGATCCTGTTGATGTTAGGTAGGTAACATTTCTTGGGATTTCTAAGGTGTTCTATTCCTTGGCTTTAGAAAAACTTTTCATCCCAACCATCTGAAGAGTATTTCCCTTCATTGCCAATATAACAAAGCCTTTACTTTTTATTTTAGGAGGGATCCGCGGAGACTCAGTGAACCAGACAGAGGGCCCTGTCACCGTCCCCGAGGCGGAATTTTTGACCCTGAACTGTACTTACCAGACCACCTATGGTGACTATCTTTTCTGGTATGTCCAATATCAAAACAAAGAGCCTGTTCTCCTCCTGAAAAGCTCATCGGATGACCAGGAGGTGAACAGCCAAGGTTTTCAGGCCACACTTGTGAAGAAACACAGATCCTTCCACCTGAAGAAACCTTCAGTGCAGATGTCAGACTCGGCTGTGTACTTCTGCGCTCTGAGGGACACAGTGCGGGAGTCCCCAGGGGGAGCCGAGCACAAACCCAGAGGGACGCACATAGGGCTGCAGGCGAGCAGCCTGGCTTTCCCAGGGGCAACAGTGCACCTCCGCGGCTGTTCTGGGGAGACGTGCAGGTATTTGCCAGGGAAGTGGAGACTATGTTTTCCAAATACAAATAAAAATACTTGTTACGGCAAATATACCTACTAATCGAAAGAGTAGGTCACAGCATGATCTGTTCTGCTACAGTGTGCATCTCATTAAAACAATTTTCTTTTACCCAGTTTGTTAAAATACAAGTATGATGTTAACGTGATGCGGACGTTTCACTGAGTCTGAGTTTTTGAAGCACATTAACAGCTTATGCTATACCAAAGAACTACCAGGACAAATTTCTCATTATAAAAATGCTTCAACTGTACTGTAGTTTGAGGTAAGTATGTTTTAGTGCGTCAAGAATTCCCAGAGTTTTCAAGGCAAGCGACTCGGTGAAACTGAGACAAAGGGTAAAGGACTCTGGGACTATCCCCAACTCTGATCTTAACATATTGGCTTATGAAGATATTACATTTCAAAGCTTGATGAATCTGGTCTTTTGGAAATACATGTTTTCATGAATCTGTATCTAAAGACGGGAAACCCAAGTCCCGATATTCAAGGCTGCAGAGTTTACTGGCCATGACACAAGGGACAAACACCACTGGAGACTGAGCTCTGCTGGTGCCTTTAAAAGGACTTCTATTTTTTTTTTTTTTTATTATTCTCTGTTTACAAAGTTGTATAGTCTCAGGATTTTCCCTGTCCCAATTTTCACCGTATTAATATGTGTGGTTTGGAATCACGGAAATACATGTATTGTGTTACACCAGAAATTCTTGTACTTAGGCCCTGAATAGGATTTTCTCATTTTTTGTTTACACACACACACACACACACACACACACACACACACACAATGTGTATTTTCTCCCTGCTGTTACTGAACAAGGCACACACATGACACATTTTGTGACTCAGAAAGCCTGATGTGAAATCATTCATTACCAACAAAATATTTATCATGTAAATTTTACTGGCTTCCATGCAAACTGAAAAGAAACACTGTGACTAAAAGCTTTGCCTTCCTATTAGAAAAACAAAATCCCGTGATCAGTTTTCACACTGATTCTCTTGGGAGAAAAGACGCCTATTTAAGGCTTAAAGGTCCGTACATAACTATGTTATCTAATGTATTCACCATAGTTCATAAGAAACTGCATTCTATAAAACTCACATTTTCCACCAAAGAGGAATTAACTGAACAGAATTCCATTTCCACACTGTTTATTTCCAGTCTGATAAGTTATAATTGGACAAAATAGGCCTAGCTCAGGAGACTAGCATGTCCCACCCATACAAGAAGCATGCGACACAACACAGGCACACTTGTCCTATATCTGCTAACTCCATTTCCTATGCGGGGGCAGAGCACCACACAGTCCAGTAACTTTGCCTGTACCTCCTGAGCACAGGGTACAAAATTCGGATCTGGAACTGAGACAGAAGGTAGGAAATTGTCCTCAAGAGAAGAGCGACCAATATGCTGATTGCCAACATGCTTTATCTGTCACAGCCTCTATCTGTCTAAGGAAGGACGGTCACAGACACTGGACTCTAGCTCCTCCCAGTGCTGAAGGCTGTGGGGAGAAGCAGATTGCTGTCTGATGAGGCTTAAAGGGGAGGATAATGGGCCGTGGAACCAGGGTGCTGGCTCCTAAGCTACTTCATTCTTTATACGCTGAAGGTCACAATCTATTTCTTTTCTCCTTCCTGCAGGATCCAGCATGACCCAGAAGGTAATTGAAGTCCAGTATATAATTTCTGTGGTGGAGAAAGAGGCTGTAACCTTGAACTGTGTGTATGAAGCTAGCAGTTACACTTTTTATTTATCCTGGTACAAACAGCTATCAAGTGGGAAAGTGACTTTCCTTATTCATCAGGGGTCGTATAATGCTCAAAATACAGCAGAGGGTCGATATTCTCTGAACTTTCAGAAACCAGCCAGTTACATCCACCTCAACATCACAGACTCACAGCTCAGAGATTCAGCCGTGTATTTCTGTGCTCGGCGACAGGCGACAGTGATGGGGGTTCCTGTGGGAGCCCCACAAAATTGTCCACATGAGATAGGGCCCCTAGGGAGAGAGTCCGTCACAGACAGGATGAGGCAGGGGTTGTGTCTGCACAGGTGGGGCCTGGCCAGGAAACCTTAGTTCCATTCAAATGGAATGTCTAGATATGTCATTCATTGAAAGCATATGCAACTCCCATTCTTTAGAATAGATTAAGATAGAACATGAAGCACATGAAGTTTTATAAGATCAAAAAGGGTAACAAAAAAAATCTATCAATCTTTGGTTGGTTTTATTGAGATGGGCGAAAAATTTAATTATCTTTAATCCAAATAAGTGACTCTACTAATGTGTTGTTAACTCTTCAAATTCATTCATACTTTTATGAGTTCATTATCATGCCGAATACTTTAATCTACTTGTAATAAAAATGCCTTATATTCATTTTTTTAAAAATCATATCATTACCTCAAAAGAGAGAATTATTTAATTTAGATTTCTTTCTATAATTACATTAATGACCACTTGCACAAGACATAGATTTCAAATGTTTCTCAAACTATCTCTCTTTGGCTCCTCTCTTTTTGTGACATAATCATGAGTTAAAACTGGATTTCTGGCTTCTCTTTGAAAAGATCTAGGAACACGAGATTCTCTGGGGTGGAGGTCAAAAGTTCTGTTTGAATACATAATGACTTTAATGTAGTCTCATTTTATTTTAAAATACTGCTGATTTGCCACCCACAACATGAATTAACCTAAAAGTAAAATTTAAGTTATTCATCATGTGTAATATATAAGCTAATTCACAAGACAAACAAATCTGAATTAACATCTCATTTAACTATTGTTATTTTTTCCCTGATGTTATCTCTATCACAACATGTGTTCCATTTTCATAAACTCAAATCTTTTCATTAGTTCAAAAGACATTTAGTTTAACTGGAAGCGTTGTGGAAACATTAGTGAGAAAACCTGATGTGCTTTCTGCCTTTATTGGAGTGACCATTTTCCAGTGGTATCCGGTATGGAATATCAGGCAGAGAGAACAATGCACTGTAGTTTTAGAGCTCATTACACAAGTGACCTATGTAACCTTAATCAAGTTGTAAACTTCTCTGAATCTGTTTCCTCATCTGTAACATGGAGAGGTTAAATTAGGAAGTTGCTGTTGAATAACCTGTTCCAGAATTCTGGCCTCACAGGGCACTTAGTCCACTGGTATTTTTTAGTTCCTAACACTTACTTCCTGATGGGGGCCCTCACGTTGGGTGCCAAACGATGGGGGTACTTTGTTCCCCCAGAGTCCTCCCAGGTCACTGCAGATGGTGAAAATACAATAAGTGATTCCAGACACTTCTTGGTCTGCCAGGAAAAGGGGGTGGAGATTCCCTGGTGGAGAATGCCCTGAGCCCTTCTCTTGAAGTGGCTTTTATTGAGAACCATACATGCAGGGGTGTACAGCCTGGATACAAAGGTCATCAATCAATGTCAAAAGGCTGTGTTTACAGAAAATAGATAAAGATCATATGTAACAATTGAAGAAACACAGAGATTTGCCTCAGGTCAGGGTCTGGTAGACAGTGTGGCCCTGAAAACTGGGAAACTGATCACATTCTATGCTTGACCCCAAACACCAGTACTCATTAACTCGAGGGCACTCTTAGCAAAGTAAGTTTCATAGAATTTAATGCATTCCTTTTCCAGGCCTAATTTCCCCTGGGAACTGCCAGGTCCAGTTTAGGGCTGCACCTACGTCTAGTATTGTTTCAAGCCCAAGCCAGGCGGGTGGAGCAGAGCAGCCAAGAGATAAGGAGACTTCTTTTGGATAGAATGAGGACTCTGGCCATGACAAAGCCGAGAGGTGAGTGTCTTTTGTCCCTTCTCCGTGTCCCCCAAGTCCTTCCCTGATGGCCTCTATGCAACTGTGCTTGTCTTAGGTTGTCCCTGCCATGAGGCGTCTTACCCATCATTGACTAGCCATACTCCGGGGCCAAGCAAGGTTATATGAGGTGTCCCCTGCCGCGGAGACATGTTTTGTCTCCTCAGTGGCCTCTTTTCCCAAGGCCTCCTTGCTCAGCTCCAGCCTTGGTGGCCTCTCCCCTGTCGAAGCTACAGTCCGTGAAATCAGGACGATTCCCAACAACTCCCTATCCTCCTTTGTTTAGTAAAGGGCTGTTAGGTGTTCTAGAAGTAGCCATGGTGCTCCACACATTGCATGATAATGTCCTGGTAACACCAGGAGGCCAAAGGGAGCAGGGAGAGAGGACAGTGACTTGGGAAGTCACCTCCTTACAACGCAGGAGCTACTGCTCTGTGCAGCTGGGCAGGACAGAGAGGGGGGTAGGGTGAAATAAAGGAGGGAGGGTTAACAGATAGAAGCTCATAAGTAACTGTTATTTGCATGTGATGTTATGCTTTCTTTCACAAAGATTAGACATGCTTTCTCATCTTAGTTTTGCAGAATTGGGAAATGTAGAAAATTCCCTTTTGCCAAGCAGAAGGTCACACAGAACTTGGACCTACAGGCCAGAACCCCAGACAACAGAGCTCCTCCTGCAGGCTGAGAGACCAATTTTCAAAATATAAGGATGTCCTATGTCTCTTGTAAATGAAAATTGTTCATCTGACCCTAGGGAAACTAAGAATATTTTAGAGGGTGGGGCCCTTTGCTATCGGACTGTTTAGTCCAGAGTGAGGTTTCACATGCCAAAGCTCTCAAGTTCCAGGAACAGAATGAAAATGAGTGAGGACGTCCAACCATGTTTCAAAAGTTGCAAGTCTTAATCAACACTAGGCCTCGATATCAGAGGGATAAAAGAAAGCGATGTTTCACAATCAAGGTTTCTCCCAGGTAGAGTGGAGTCCTGAAAGGCGATTGATTCAAAGACGGACGCTTTTTCCCCGAGTCCTTGCGTCCCATCCCCGTCCGGCTGCAGGCTTGTTAGATGTGGACACGCAGAGACAGGAGTACAGCGCAGGGAGCCTCTGGGTCCCAGGCCGAGGTGGTGAAGCTGTCACAGCCCGCAGGACAGCTGGGGCCCTCTGAGTAGCCCCTGAAACAGACCCGGGGATGAAGCGGTGGACGGCAGCCGCCAGGCTCCAGCCGACGCTCCATCTTCGCAACCCTCCCTCTTCAGGTGTTGCCTGAAGTTCCCTGAGGTACCGCCCACCTCTCAGAGCCTCGGCTCCCGCACACGCTACCCCTCCCACACAGCTGTTCCCCTGCCTGTGGCTAGAGTGTGACCTAAATCAAATAAAGCAAAGAAACACAAATTTAAACATTTAAATAAATAATCAAAAAGCTAATGCTCACTCAATACGCTGGCCTTCAAAACTCTCAGGAATGGAAATGAAATTCAGAAACTGAGTTATTTTTCCTTGAGAAAATTTGGAATCTTTTTGTTCTTTATTTGTAGCATATACACTTAGAATTATTTGGAGGAAAGAGTTGAAAAAATGGAGGCAGATATGTGGATATTTATTTAATTCTTCAATATATGTTGTGCTTTTTCCATTGTTACACAAAAATACAAGAGACGGCTTTTCTCATTGTATAAAACTCACAATATTATGGTAGCTTTTAGAGCAAAATCCACGCCTTGGAAGGGACTCTGCCCACCTCCATTCCATCTCCTCTTCTACCTTTAGTGACCCATTTTGACAGTTTTGAGTGTCCTGACAATTACATTTCTTTTTCTTTTACAGGGATACTTATAGCAATATCTACCCAATTTTCTTACATAAGTTGGATCATATCTCTGAATTTATTTGAAACTCATTTTTATTTTTTAATTAAAAAAATTTTGATATGTGCTCATACATAAACACATACACATGAATTTTAGTATGCTTGTATAATAAATCAACTCATATGCCTATTAATATTAAATTTGTTACATACATTGTTTATTATAACCTGAATCATAAATCAACAACTGGTCCAGAATATATCTGGCCATGTAATATAAAAAATAGGGACATTTGTTGAAGAAGATACAAGATACAAGAAACACTGTACATAGGACAATGATGCTTCAGTCCCCTTCAAAGTAGGCAACTTGGGACCTCCCAGTGTTCTCCAAATTGCCATCAGAAGCCCCATCGTATTTCCCTGACTCTCATTGATGGTCTGAAATCTCTTATCTTTTGAAGGCAATTTTACTTTTAGGGAGAAACCACAAGTCTCTGGGCACCATATCTAGGCTGCCATGGCACTAAGTCACCTGGGTGAGTTGGTGTTTCACCGAAAAACTCTTCATGAGACATGATGCATGAGTGAGCACGTTGTCATGACGAAGCTGCCAATCATAGTTGCCCACAGTTGCAGGCTTCTGAACCATCTGAATAGTTTCCACAGAGGAAGGTTTAAGCTTAATACAAATTTGAAGCAGATTCATTGCTCTACTCAGTCATCTTGAATGCAACAGCCACGCAGTACACATGCTCACTCAATGACGTCTACAGCCACCACTGACTAGTACAGTGGAGTCAACAGTGCTTACACAATGTGCATTCCAGTCCACTCTCCTTAGTTACCTGGATACAATGATGTAGTATAAACTGTTCTCATTACATTAAAAATGGCTGGGCTTTTTCTGGACAGTCCTTCATGTATGTACAAATTTACAAATTATGTTCATTTATACATATACATAGAGAATATATTATTTATGTATTTCTTAATCTTATTTTCAGAAGTTGATTTGCTGGGCCAGGGATGTGCCTATTTTATGATTTTAGATATTGAAAAATTGCTTTTCAAAATGACTCTAACAATCTATTCTGCCAACAGTATGGTATGGGAAAACAATTCCCCTGCCTCTAGGTTAACACCGTTATCAATCATTTTTATATTTTAATAAGTCCTAAGTATTTTGTTGGTATTTCATTTGCATTTTCCTGATTACTAGGGCATTTGAACAACTTCTGCCTTGTGTTGTCATTTTAATATTGTCATTTTAATAGATTGTCATTTTCTTTTTTATATTTAAGAATTCTGTTAGTAATATGAATACTACTTTGCTTATTACATATATTATACCTACTTTCTCATAATATGTCATTTCTTTTAAATTTGTTCATCACCAGGGGTGTTTTTATTTTCATTTTTTCAGGTCTAAGCCTTCCCATTCGAAGGTGATAAATCTAAATTCCTACATTTCATTCACAGAGTCAGCCTCAGAGAGGGACTTGGGAGCTCAGCTAGGGTTTAGATATTTGACAAGGTGAGACTTGATGAAAATGATAGGCTCCCACATTGTGCATTTTACAAGTAGAACTTTAAAATATTGTAATAAAAGAATAGTAGACTTATTGATTTTTAAAAAATACTGTTTGTTGTGCATTTAATTGTGTGCCCACTCCTATTAAGCACGCACAAATTCTTAGGCTGCATATTTTGTTGTCATCGTCCTTGTTACTTCAGAATGTGACCTTTTTAGGAAATAGGGTCTTCACAAGGTAATCAAGGTAACATCAGATTATCATGGTGGGACTTAATCCAAAAGGATTTGTATCCTTATAAAAGGGGAATATTTGGAGACAGACAGACAGACAGACAGACACACACACACACACACACACACACACACCCTCCTCACAAAGAAGACCATGTGAACATGAAAGCAGAGATCAGAATGAAGCATCTGGAAGACTAGTGAGAGGCCTGGGACAGATCCTTTCCTCACCAGTCTCAGAAGGAAATATCTCTGATAATGCTTTGATTATAGACTTCTAGCCTGGGCTGTGAGACAATTAATTTCTGTATTTTTAAGCCCCTAGTTTGTGGTATTTTGTGACAGTAACCCGAGCCAACTCATTCCCTGCTCCAATTCATTCCAAATGGGTGTCACCTAAGAGAGGACCCACCTGCTTCCCTATCACTCAGCCATGCTGCCCCTCCATATCTCAGTGTCTGTGATGGTCATCACTCTCAGTGACACATCTGTTTTATTCCCCTAATCCTTTGCCTAATCTGGAAGCTGCTCAGAAAAAAAGTTCCCCTCAGCAGGTAAAATAATGTAATTTCCAAATAAACTCAGATGGAGAAAATCCATTGCTGGAAGAAGTTTCATAAGACATACCAAAGGAAGTTCTTAAAGATAAAAGGAAATGGTATCAGATGATAATTTGAATGCACATTAAGAAATATAGAGCCCCAGAAAAAGTAAATATAAAAAAAAGTATAAATACATATTTTTTCTGTTCTCTTAATTAATTTAAAAGAAAATCACATAGAAGTATAAATTTCAAATTTTATTGTCAGGATTATATTCTATTAAGGATAATATATAATAATAAGAGCACAAAGCAGAGGCAGGGAATGGCACTATTCTGGGGTCAGAAAATGACACCAGACAGTCTCTGAAATCCACAGAAGTGAAAGAAGTGGTATTTGGATTAATATGAAACATTCTATAAAAATATTATTCTTCTTTCCCCTCTTAATTAAAAAAAGACATGGAATCTAATGAACAAAATAACTAATGAACAAAATAGAAGCAGAGGTATGAATACACGGCAGGGACTGGATGAAAGAAGGTCAAGGAATTAGCCAAAGAACATATGACACACAGACACAGACACAGACACAGACAACGGTGTGGTTACGGCCAGAGAGAAGGAGCAGATAGAGGATGGGTGGAGGCAGAGAGAGGTGGGGAATTGGGGGACATTAGTAATAGTGTCAAAATTTTTTAAAAAACATAAGATTTTCTAAAGCAAATTCAACAATGCACGGTTGTCAGAATATAACATATATGGACATGGTATATATGACAGTAATAGCCCAAAAGAGAAGACAAGAAATAGAGCTATATTAGAACAATATGCTTGTATTTTACTAAAATTAAGTTCACATCAGCTTGAAATTTATTTGCTTCTTTTTTTAAAAAAAAAAAAGCTTTTTATACTTTATTTCTTTTTTAAGGAAAGCAATGTTCACACCATTATGTTAATAAGTAACATAACCTTCTTCTTCCTGCATTGTCTCCCTCAGGATTTTTTTCTCTTTCTGTATTTGTCTTTGCCTTTCATGTTAGGGTGTTTTCTTCCAAATGTCTAGTGATCTGCATGCTCATTCGTACTTAATGGGGTAGAAATCTGAGGTTTGAGCAAGGAATTGGGCTGTAGATCCTCTATTTGGAGTATTTGCCTCATTTCACTCTCAACTAAGTCTGGTATCCCAGGTTCTTATTCCTCTTTACTCAATATTGTCAGAAAAATAGGCAGTTTTGTCCATGAAAGCAGCTGGGGAGGAGTGGACAGCTGTCTTTTTCATTTCAGGATGGGAGACCTGAGACAACAACTCTACCTCGGACAATTGTACTCTATGCCTGATACACTCTAGTTAAAGTGCTATTACCCCCAGGCCACGCTCAAACTTCTGAGGTATCAGGTGCTCTAATTCTTGAGACTTTCAGGGCACCCGGGTTTTTGTTGCCATTTCCTTCTGTGACCCTTGGGATGCAATTTTCTTTCATCTGCTATCCATCCACCACTTGTCCATTCACTTTCAATTTATAAAATACCTCATCTTTCGACACCCATCACCAGTTCTATATGTTTATGGGGTTCATATCTATATCAAAAAGTGACTGTCATTTTTTTCCTTTTCAGAAAGGAAAAGAAAAAATAGGTTTTTGTTTCACCGTCTAGCCTTCACTGATTTCCCCCAGAGATATTATAAGGTGCCCAGGTGCAGAGTTCCTCTCTGTCTTGCTCATGTTTCTCCATTTTCTTAGCAGATAGTGAGTTCTCCTGAGTGCTCACCCAATGATAAGGAGAAATAGAATAAAGAGAACAACAACAAAAAACAAAACACAAAACACAGCAACTCGGCTGCTGTAAACAACAAGAATCTAGTTACCAGCCATAAGGGGGCAGTGTCTCTACTCACAGTTACCCTGCAAGGCCAGCTCAAAAATGAGAGGAACCTCCAGTTACAGATCAGAGTGGATGACACACACAAGAGATGTCTTAACACCACGATATTTACAGTGCTGCCGTAAGCCCAGGGCAGTTCACTGGGGCAAAAGCCCTTTTTGGGAAAAAATTCTTTGTTGAAAGACTTCTGATGGAGATGTTTCTTGAAGGGTCATTAACACTCCTATGGATGCAGCTGACATGTGAGTCTTGGGGCTTTCCAAATCTTGCGCAGAGGACTCTAAAGGGGGTGGGAGTTGTGTGAGTGCAGGAGATGAGGTCTATGAAAAGGGGGAAACAAGGAGAAAAGTGAGGGGGGGTGAGGAAAAGAAAAAGCACTGAGGCAGGGCTGGGGGGTTAGGAAATGGAGTTCCTCACAGCGTTGAGAAAGGTGACCTAAAAATGACCTTGAACACTTTTTTGTCTCTTTCAACAGGGGTGAGTGGCCAACAACTGACTCAGAGTCCTCAGTCCATGTCCATCCAGGAAGGAGAGGGTATCTCCATGAGCTGCAGCTCCTCAAGCACACTCAATGCCTTGCAATGGTACAAGCAGGATGCTGGAGAAGGCCCTGTCCTCCTGCTAGTCTTATATAAAGGTGGTGAATTGACCAGCAAGGGGACACTGAAGGCTCAGTTTGGCGGAACAAGAAAGGACAGCTTCCTGAACATTTCAGCCTCTGAGCCTGCCCATTCGGGCACCTACTTCTGTGCTGGGAGGCACAGTGCTCCCCTAGCACCTGCAGCTGCACGCAAACTTGCAGCCAGGACCCCAGTCACTCTGCTGCCTCTATGCTACTCCTCTTGGCATGGACTGTGGTCATGCATACAACCCATGTCCCCTGCCCTTCCATTACTGTGAATTCTGATGTATTCAGGGCTTTAGCTTCCGAAGAAGAATATAAGAACACAATAATCAATGCTACAACAATACATGTTAATGTGTACAATAAATAATTAACTTTCTAGGAAAATGTTCATGCTGAACTCTTCTCAAGAAGTGAAAGAAAAATGAAATAGGCCAATGACATGAAGTAAAAATAATAAAAAATGACAACCAGGATTGGAGAAATTTATAGCTGAAATTTATAAGATTTTCTAGTAACAGATGACTCTTATATTGTTGGAAATGTTCTAAAACTTAGAAAAGTCAAAATATCAATCTCATTTCAAAAAGTTAGTATTGCCATGATATCAAAACATACAAAGAATGGTACTTGCACATACAAATTGTATGCTGACTTCAAATATATTGTATATAGGCCTCAAAAGTCTATAATAAACTACTACTGAATCAAATTCGGTATTTAAATAACATACAAATCAAATAATATAAAAATTGTTCAATTTATAATATAAAGGAAAAATGTGATCATTTCAATAGGTGAAATATAAGTACCTAATTAATGTTAAACATTTTGTAAGTTAACAAGAGAAGGAAGATGCAGCAATTAATAACATGTACTGGTCCAGGACTAAGCAAGTAAACAATGAACTTACAAAGAGACTAGAAATAGATCCATATATATGAGTGTAAAATGTGGAATTTTAACAAAAAAAGGGAGAAAGATGAGGCCTTTTTAACAAATGGTGCTGTTTCAACAGACTATCCTTGTGACTACCTCATGTCATAATAACATTCCATTGAGATGCATTATATATAAATATAAAAAGCAAAATTCAATGATTTCAGAAAATAATCCAAGAGTGGTACACAATAACATTGAAGTAGATAGTCTAAAATAAGAAATACAAAGAATTAAGCAAGAAGCTTCATCAAAGTACATATTTCAGGAGTGAATAGGCAAGCCACAAATGGAAAAATACTTTTCAATAGAATTTAACTAGCAGAAAATCTAGTCTCCATTTGGAAGGAATGGGTTAAGAGCAGGTGAGTCCAGTTCATCCCTTCACTCTGTTTGCACGCCACCTGAGTTAGAGTGATTGCAGACACCCTCCTGGTAGACATTCCAATGCAATTATTAGATGGAGTATAAGTGAGAGGCCTTTGGGGGTTGTTGTGAACACATTCTGCTATGTTACATTGTTTACTGTATGCAGCCTGAAATTTATGAATTTAAAAGATGCAGCTGGATGAAGAATGGAAACTAATCATACAACCAATCTAGCAAAGTATTCAGAGAGATATAAGAATTTTTGAAAAACCCAAAATAAATAGAATTGTTGTGTGCTGAGATTCTTGATCTCACAGCCACTATTCACACACTCAAAAGAAAGAATGAAGGAAATTTTCTAAATCTAATAAAATATTATAGACTAAAACCTCTCAGTGAACATGACACTGAGCAGAAAAACAAAAAAGTATATACTAAGGAATCAGTAAATGATTAAATAATTCTACACCTACACTACAGAATACTATCCAGCCATAAAGAAAAATAAGATAGATCTGCACATAACGATGTAGAAATACATTTAATATATACAGTTCAAGTGAAAAGAAGAAGTCACAGAACAATATAAAATAAAATTTCATTTTCTTTAAAAATGAAAATTCTTTTAATATGCATAACTAAATATGAACACCCATTTTCCCTTGATCTCTCAACCTAGCTCTTTTATCTCTTTTTGCTCTCGTTCAGCTCACTTGGAGTGCGGTCATGGTAGGAGGTAACCATGTCCTATACAGACTGTAAAATTCTCATCTTCACCAGAACTGAAAAATTAAACTCCACATTCCTATTGCTAAAGCCAAAATGTCCAATTCGCATGGAACAGAAGAGGCTTTTCTAGGAGAAGTAAATAAATAAATAAATAAGAAGATAATGAGACTTTTGATGTGAAGGGATAAAGGGTATTTTTCAGGGAAGCCAAGGAATGCTGAAGTGTCAGAAGTGAGGCAGGTATTCAATGACTAGGCCCTTGTTGCAAGAAAGGATTAAGAATGGGTAATTGGTAGGAGGGGGCAGCTGCTAAGGGTACAATTTAAGTGCTCAAGAGCCGGGGTAGATGATGGCCTTCCCTACCCTCTAGCCCTGTCTCCAGGTGAATTGCCAGAAATTTCACTGCCTATGAAGCCTGTTCCACATAAATTTCCAGACTTCATGCAAGTTACCACTCTGCAGCAAGAGCCCCTTCAGCCCTCAGCCCAGCTTGAATACATGACCTTGCAGTGTCTTCAGAAAGCTCAAGGTCAGATGGAGTTTTGGGCACTTGGGATGGTTACCAGTTTCTCTAGCAACCACACACCCAGAAGGGCAGGCAGGCTGCACACCTGAATTTAGCGCACTAAAGAGTCATGAGCCATCCTCCTCACCACAGACAAAGTGTACAGTGTATCAAAAAAATTGTTGGATAAAATGAGGAAAGAAACCACTTTATTTTTTAACAAATAAATGAGCTATTTATTCATAAAATAAAAGAGAGTTCAGGATGATGTCATGTCAGGGATGTAGGGGTTAAGAATATAGACAATTTGTATTTCCTTCTTAGTGCTTCTTAGCATTTTCCAAATAGTCTGCAATGTCAGTGTATTTCTTTTATAAACAGAAAAGCAATATTTGCAAAGAGTAAGTAGAATTTGCTCTCCTTTACCTTAAAAAAATACAAACTCACATCACAATTTCAATGTTGGAATACTTATTCAAAAACATGTGAAAGAGTACACCTTGGAAATATCTAGTGCAAAATGTATTCCCAAGTTGAGCTGTCACATTCTGGAAACAACATAAATTGAATGCACATATTTAAAGAAAATAGAAATCTATAGAATGGGTGAATGGAATAAACAGCAGATAGTTAGGTGGAAAACACTAATCAGATGTATTTAGTAGCACAGGATGGTCTCAGTGGATTTAGAAATAGGGTTACTGGGATGATGGCTTGCCTTTTGTTTTGACTAAGACATGATGAACTTGAAAACTCTTCAACATCTGTATGTAACCCAAATAAACCCTGTGCATGAACAGAAAGCCTACAGTTTGTCAGAAACACCTCTTTATAAATATGTGCTCCAAAATAATGAGATCAATAGTGAACCTTCAAGAGAGACTTTGGAAAGGTCTTTTGCTCTCTCTCCATCTTTCCCTCCATTCCAACCGTCCACAGAGCTTCAGCCTTTCACCTCACATCGCAGGCTCTGACTTGCACTAACCAACTTCCCCGTGTGCTGTTCCTCTCTGCCTTCACTGAGCCATGGAGCCACTGGCCGAGTCATGGGTAGCATTGGGTTGTCTGTCCTTCAAGGGTGAGGCAATTTTGGAAGGTTCTATCACCATAGATAAAACACTCAGGCCAAAATGTCAGCTTTACTGCACTTGCTCACAAGACGGCAGTGCTCTCCTTCATATATCTCCCCTGAGTGCTTGAGAGGGAAGGAGTTGAGTTAGAATAAGGGATCAATGATTCTTGTATTTCTGGTTGGCTGAATAGCCATATTTTTATTTCCCTTTCTGTGTGTTTGTGTGTTATTTATGTGCATGCTGGGAGAAGACTGTGTCAGTTCTAAAAAGAAGAGGGAAAGCTCAGGGCAGTGAATCCTATTTTACCCCGGAAAACAAATTCAAGGACTGAAGGATGGAGAAGTGGCTCCAAGCTTCACTGGTGATCTTATGGCTTCAGCTGAGCTGTGAGTAGCACTGCTGCAAAGGGCCAGAGACAACTGGGAAAACTGAGGATTGATCTCAGAACATTCAGAAAGAAAGGAGGAATTCAGGCTGACTTCCCTGGGTGCACCTATGGTTTCAATGAAGAATAATCATGATTTCTGCGAAGACTTGACCTGACATCACTCTCTCTGCTTAACCATTCGTGTTGCTTTTTCTAAACCAGGGTGTATAGTGATGACATGGTGATTCAGAGACCCCCATCTCTGTTTGTCTATGAGGGAGACAGTGCAACTCTCGAGTGCCATTACCAGGCATCTGAGTTTCGAAGCCTACAGTCGTATAAACAGGAAGAGAAATCTCCCATATCCTGTTTAGGCTCATTGCAAGTGGGGTTGTCTATGGAAGAATGAGAGGCACATTAGACAAGGAAGAACATCTCAGCACCCTGCATCCCAGCCCTGGGGCTCAGCCATCTACCTCTGCACAGTGGAGACACAACACTCTCTAGTCTCCTGCAGCATGGACATAAAAGCTATAGCTGAGGATCCTGCACTGTTAGATGAAGAACTTCGTAAATTGAGTGTGCCCACAAAAAGAAGCTATAAAGAAAGCTACTCTTGGTCGAGATCTTCGTGCTCCTGTTGACAATTATGCAGGTTCCTGAGTCCTATCCCAGGCTGAGCCATGTCACTGCACTCACAGCTTTTTCTGTGTTTTTCTATGGCACTCACTGCACTGAAGTTTGTAGAGGGTCACTCATGTGATACCAAGTCCATTACTGGCCATGATGTCCGGTGGAAGAAAGAAAGCCCTTTTGCCAGGATTGCACTGGGCACTGATATGTGCACCATCCACCACGAACTCATCTGATACATACTGCATGTATGTATCATACAAGTCCTGTTTACATTTGGTTTTATCTTCCTATCTAGCTCAGGCACATGTAAGTAGAGTTCTTCCCACAACTTTTATTGCTGGACTGATTATCCAAGAATAGAGGGCACAAAGCAGAAGCTGTCAATACTTATTTCAAACAAAACATTTTCCTCCCCACTTGCAGGATTCTTATTCTCACTCTCATAGGCCTATTCTCTATTCTAGCTATTTCATGAGAGTGCAGCCAGAATTTCCTCAAGATATTACACATTAACTTAAAAACCGATTACCTTATCAGTCTCCCAAAAGAAAGACATTAGATAAATGAAGTTATGCAAAACTAACACAACTTTGTTACATTATGATATATTCTATCAGTGAAATATATAATTACATATATTTTATATTACTTCATTGAATTTTCATAATAACTATGATGGATCATTGTTCATGTTCTCAGTTTACAGATTACAACATCCAAACTCTGAAAACTTAAGATTCCAGGAACCCCAGAAAAACACACAAAAACTTTTTAAATCAGGTCTATCAGATTCCAAAGTCTACACTTTCTCCATGATATGCCCCATATTAAACATCACAAGGGGAAAAAATTTACTCACATTACTACCACAATTACATACCCAAAAACCACAGAAAGAGACCCTGGAATAACATGTGTTTGACATGCAAATAAAATAATGTTTACAATAACATGAATAAAATAATCCTTAAATATTTCTACCTAAATAACCTGTCTTCCAGTACTGGGCTTAATATTTATGGTTTATTTACTTTAAAATATTCTTTGTTTTTTAAACTCACTACCAGGACCCCAATCCTGAGCATTATTTAGAAATAAAAAACGATACAATACACTTCTTTTTAAAATACCAAAACCCACTTAAGGTGAAACTGTGTTATATAGTTATTATCTGATATAGTTCTGCTGGGTTGCAGTGAGAACTATGTATTAGCAAATGACACAGCATTAAACAATGTGTTTGATTGCTGCTAGCCCTTCAGATCACCATAGACTAACGCTCCCTGAAGTTGGCAAGGTAATAAAGTTACAAAAAGACCTATTTCTCCTGATACTTGATTTTAATGACTGCCGTACAAACCAAGTTTTAATTCCCTGTCTCTGTAGAAGAGTGCAGACAGTACAGGCATCTTGGCTCTTGAGTTTGTGTGGAAATGTATTGCAGCAGAGCACAGTTTAGATTTCACTGCTCAGGACAGGAGGAAATAGTGTGGGGAAAGGACAGGTACTCATTACAGATGAGGGAAGCCCTGACCAGTGTGGTTTAGTTGGTTGGGCATCATCCCATGAAGCAAAATGCCACTAGTTCAATTTCAGGTCAAGGTACAAGCCTCGGTTGCAGGTTCGGTCCCCAGTCCAGAGCCACGAAGTAGAAAGCCTGAGCAGACCAATAACAGCCAGTGAAACTGAAGCAGTAATCAAAAAACTCCCAGCACACAAAAGCTCTGGAGTGGACTGTTTCACAGGAGAATTTTCAATATATGTAAGGGAGTTCTTACCCCTATCCTTCCGAAATTCTTCCAATAAATTCAAGAACAGGGAAGCCTCCCAAACTCTTTATATGAGGCCAGCATCATCCTAATCCCAAAACCAGGTAAAGCCACAGCAAAGAAAGAAAACTACAGGCCCATATTGCTGATGAACATAGACACTAAAATCTTCAACAAAACATTGGCAAACCACATCCAGCAATACACTAAAAAGATCATACACTATGATCAAGTGGGATTCATCCCAGGGTTGCAAGGTACAATATCCACAAATCAATAAATATAACAAATCATATAAACAAAGGGAAACACAAGAATCACTTCATCATATCAACATATGCAGAAAAAACTTTTGATAAGGTACACATACATTTATGATAAAAACAGAAGAATGGTAGCAGAGGAACATTACCTCATAATAGGCCATATACAAAAATCCTAAAGCCAACAACTTAGTGGGCAAAAAGTGAAAGCTTTCCCCCTACGATTACAAACAAGACAAGTGTGTCCACTTTCACCACTTCCATTCAACATAGTATTGAAAGTTCTCACAACAGCAATAAGACTGGAAAAAGAAATAAAGGACATCCAAGTAGAAAGGAGGAAGTAAAACTACCATTGTTTTCTATGTACGCATGATAGTATACATAAAAAACCTACTCAGCCATATAAGTGAATTTGGGAAAAGAGTGGTATTCAAAGTCAATATTCAGAAAGAGAAGGTATTTTTGCCCACGAACAGTGAAATATCAGTAACCAAAATTAGGAAAAAAATCATATTTGCTCTAGAAACAAGAAAAATGTAGTTCATAGGAATGAACCTAACCAATGGGGTAAAAGACCTGTATTCAAAAAACTACACAACACTGAAGGAAGACGTTAAGGAAGACACACAAAAATGGAAGTGTGTACTATGTTCATGGAGTGGAAGAATTAACGTCATCAAAATGTCCATACTACCCAAAATGATTTGTAGCTTCAGCCCAATGCTTCTTCAAATACTGATGACATATTTCACAGGTATAGAACACACATTTAAAAAATTGTTATGGAACCATAAGTAACCCTGAATAGCCTCAGCAATTTTGAGAAAGAAGCACAATGTAGGAGGCATCTCAACACCTGATATCAAACTATGTTACAAGGGCACTGGAAAAAGCAGCCTAGTACTGCCATAAGAACAGATTAATAGATCAATGGAAGAAAATAGAGAGCCCAGAAATAAACCCATGTCTCTATGGTCAGTTAATATTCAACAAAGGGGGCAGGAGCATCAACTTACATCATACACAAAAATAAACTCAAGATGGATAAAAGATTTGAATATAAGTTGTAACTCCATGAGTGTCCTAGAGGAGAGCATCTCAGGAAAATTTCAGATACTCAGTGCAGCAACATCTTCACAGCTGTGGTCCCTAGAGCAGGGGACATAAAGGAAAGGATAAACAAATGCTAGTTGATCAAATTAGAAAGCTTCTGCCTGGCTAAAAAAAAAATCAGCAAAATGAAAAGTGAGCCAATCATAGGGAAAAATATACTTGCCATTGATATCTTGGATAAAGGCTTGATCTCTAACACATATAAAGAACTGACATGACTCCACTCCAGGAAGACAAGCAATCCAGCTAAAAAATGGGCCAAGAACCCGAACAGACACTTCTCCAGGGAGCACATACAGAGGGCCCAGAGACAAATGAAAGATGATAAGCATCACTAGCCATCAGAGAGATGCACATTAAAACGACAATTAGACACCACCTCACACCAGTCAGCATGACCATCATAAACAAATCAACAAGCAACATGTGCTGGTGACCTTGTGGAGAAAAGGGAGCCCTAGTGCACTGTCCGTGGGAAAGCAGACTGGTGCAGCCATTGTGGAAAACTACAGAATTTCCTCAAAAAACTAAAAATGGAACTGCCTTTCGACCCATCAATTCCACTGTTGGGATTGTACCCTAAGAATCCTGAAACACCAGTCCAAAAAACCTCTGCCCCACAATGCTCATTACAGCACTATTTACAATAGCCAAGTGCTGTAAACAGCCTAAGTGCCCATCAGTAAATATGTGGGTCAAGAATCTGCTGGGCACTTCCATAATGGAACACTACACAGCAGAAGGAAGAAACTCTTACCTTTCGTGAGAGCATGGATGGAACTGAGGGTATTATGCAAAGTGAAGTGAGCCAGGTGGTGAAAGACAAATACCATATGATCTCACCTATAAGAGGAACCTACCGGGGGATGATTGACTGTGGTGGAGGTGGGTAGGGCATGGGAGAGTCATCCAAAGTCCCACCATGAAAATATAAAACATATTCCTAGATTTTTAGCCACTTTGATTTTGATCTCATTCTATCATTTATTATTTTGATTTTTACAATTAAATTTTTCAATCTTCTGGAAATTCTGTTTGTATATTCAAGCTCTTATCCATTATTGTAATGTTTTTGTCATATTTTGGGTAACCAAATGGTATGTTTCCCTATTAAGAACTTTCTCTCCTTCCAGACATTACAGAAAGTCTATGAATCACAGCAGATTTGGATGTTGGTGAGGAACAGTCACTAAATTCTCCAGTGCTAACTCAGAAAGAGAAATTCTTGGCCATTCTGCTTGGAGAAAGAGACCAAATCTGTTTGACTGATGGTAATAAACGAGATATTAGAGGGAACACTGGCAGCTAAAGAAATGACCTTTGGAGGAAATGCAAACCTTGTGCAGAAGGAAGGTATATAAGTTAGCCCACCCCCCAATTCCTTCCTATATGATGGGAGGCACCTAGTCCAGTCACCATCCACTGCACTAGTTGAGCCGGGCAGAGCATGTGCAGATCTTGTGCAAACATAAAATGCAGGAGAGAAAGAGCAGAGCTAAGTGAAGGCGCACTAGCCTACCTTCCTACCCTTCCATTGAAGAAATTTTCCTTGAATTTGTTGTGAGTTATGAATCTGTCTAGGTTGTGAACCAACTTTCCTGAACACAATCTGTCTCCAAAAGGTG